GATTTGCTGGGTTGGTTCTCCAAAGGCTTCACTGCTGGGTGTGCTCAGGGCTGATCTGGGTGAGCTGTGCCAAGGCACTGACACCCCAAATGCCACCCCCTGCTCTGCCACGTCACCTGAGCTCACAGGGTCCTGCTGGATTCCACAGGATTTTCCAGCTGCTCCCACAAATCCATTTGTTCCTTAATTAACACAATTTCTGTTGGATGTAAGAAGCGTGGGGATGGCTTTGAGTTTTTACAATCATTCTTATTTGTAGAGGAGAGGGAAATGTATTTGTTCATCATTTTTTTACACGGGACTGGAATGAAGAAGAAAGTAGAAGTCTTCTATCTCTAAAAATATTCTTAACTTCACAGGGTATTTTCAAACTGAACTAAAGATAAACACAACAATGCCCTGCCCATTAAATGCCATTTTCTCTACCAGTTTGCCCATATTTTTTTATTAAGAAGTGAAAATATGTTTTTAAGTGATGCAAAGCTAAGATGAAATTAATACAGTGCAAAGGTTGTTTCTCAACTCTGGCTAAGCATCTCAGATAACAATAATTTTCTTAGAAATCTGTTTTTTCCTAGAATATAGTAAACAGGAAATTAATCATTTCAGCAACCACTTATTTAGCACATGATTCTTTCTCCTTTCAATGGGAAAAAAAAAAAAGCACATAGGTTTAAATCTGCCACAAGGACTAGAAATTAAGTTCAATATTTGGCAAAATGCCATTATTCTGAAATGATAGAAATACCTCAACTTGTCGAGCCCTGGAGAAAGGAGGAGGAAATTTCAGTCAGAGCTGCAAAATGTTTATATCATCAGGTTACACTGAACCCTGAAAACTGTAATTGAAGTGATGTGTTCCCTCCTGTTGCTGGAAACAATAAAGCAAATATTCCCCCTGGAGCAGCCATGGGAAATCCTCCTCATGATGCAAACTGAGCACTGTCACTGCACTCAGCAAGTTTCTTTTCCTTGCACATCTACTGATGTCAAAGAGTTTTGACTCTTTTGCACTTCCCTCTGTATTTTGGGAAGGTTGCCCTGGCTGTTCCATGATTAACACACTCTCCTGCACCAGGATCAAAAGCATGTGGAGAGGTGGAAGTGCAGAAAAGCTCCCTGGGAAAGGGAGCTCAGAGCCTGCACTGCAGAGCTGCCCATTATCCACATTTCCCAGCGAGTTCTTGGCTTTCAGCTCCCCAAGGTAAGAACAGTAAATCATGACTTGAACTAAACAAGTCACACTTGGCTCCAAAATCAGATTTTCCTACCTCCAGTTTCAGGTCCCAGAGGTGGGCAGAGGAAATCCTGGTCACAGCCAAAGAAGTCTTTTTTGGCTCAGAAATAAATTTTCCTGCTTTCCTCGAGCCAAACCCTACCATTGAGAGCACCAGAGCTTCAAGCAATACTTGAACATTTCTTTTATATTATTTTGCTTTAGCAACCTGATTCTCCAGCAATATGAAACTGTTTTAATAACACAGAATTAGGGTTTTTGGCCTCTTTCTTACATCAGTTTTGTTTATTGTCAAGTACAGTTCTGAGCCTTAATCATTTCTTTCTCCCCAACACTGACAAAGTGCTTTAGACTCTTCTTTTTGTGAAAATCTAATGCCTGAAATGCTGAAGTGAAATTAAATTATTCTCTTTAAAGCCTCTACAGAAAATACTGAGAGTTATAAAAGCCTATAGATCCTTAAAGAATCCATTTAATCCCAGGGCTTGTGGCACATATTTAGCACAAACATATGGAAAGAAACTAAATTTGGATATTATACATCACACTTGACAATGAGTTTCTTGCCCAAGACTGATGTCTGGATCCAAAATGCAACACTTTAAAATCCATAACCCAAGTTAATTAACAGTATGTCAGCATCAGATAACATGTCTGTGGGATTACACATCTCTTTCTGCCACGTTATTTATGGTCTCTAATATTACAGTTCACTGGTATTCAGTCAAGTTACAAACCATAAAACATATTTAGAAAGCAGGTTGATCACAGACAAGTCACATTAGTGGAGATGAGCCAACATCAAACTGCCAACATAAAATATTGGTCTCCAAAGGTCCCATTCTCCAACCCCTTCTGGTTGTGCACAGTCCTACAAGTATTAAAGGGATTACTCACACAAGTCAGAGCTCTGGGCAGAGTAAAGGGTTATGGAATTGAGGCTTAAGAGGACTTTTGCTAACCCAAAAAGCAGACATTCAAGTGTTTCTTCATGTAGAAGCTGAGTAATTTTAATGATTTAAACCAATCCCAGAAGTATCTAATTCCTGCATATTCCAAAGGAATTGTTAATCACTTGCATTTCCTATTTTTAAAGGGATGTCATTATAAATCACCTTATCAGGTTCCTCTTTGGTCCCTCTCCTGAGCACCTCTTGCTGTGGGGGAGCAACACCTGGACCTGTGTTCACAGTTCTGGGACAGTCCAACCTGGCCTGGGGCACTGGGGTTTGAACCTGATGCCTGTTGAAAACCCAAGGCCCTCCCAAACCATTCCAGAGCTCAGCCAGTTTTCTGGTGAGCAGACAAAATCTAAAGAAACACCAACCAACTACCTCATAACAGCAAATGCTGTTGCAATTCTATAAACTTCCACTGTTTCATTTGGGAAATTCGACTCCTTTCTGAGCTGAAAAGATGTTTAATCTTCCAAATTCCTTTTGTATCTATGCTCCTGTTTCTACAAAACTACTAATTCATCTTATTCAGTGGATAGGTGAATCTCATTCCTTCACTCCATCCTTCATGCAACTCAGCTGGGAAAAGAAATGTGCATTAATCCAGAATTTTTGGGGGTATCTGATAAACCCAAAGCCTCAACTAAAAAAAAACACTGTTCAATTTAAAGACACATTTCCAATAAAAACTATTTCCCTGAGCATTCTGCTAAAGGAGCAGCAAATGTGATGCTGAGAGCCCAGTGCCTGCCCTTCTCTCATCCAGAATTGATCACTGCAGGGCTTTGTGCACTCCCAGCTCTAAATGCACACACTCAAACCTTCAGTGCTTGCAATTTGGCAGTGACTCCTTCTATACCTACTGAAAAATTCAGAGGTTTTCTTCAGTCTAATTAAAACCAACAATTCAACACAACACTGATTTTTAAAATGCAGTTACCAGAAATGGGCTGTACTGCCTGTGATTCTGTTCTATGAAATATTTGGTTGAACTCAAGGTAAAATCAAACACAGCATTTTGATCTTAAGGAACATAATCCACTGTGAAGATAATTCACCCTTGGCATATTCTTTTCAAACTAATTTTGTATCATCTAGAAACCAAAAGCACTGACTTTCAGGAAATCATTTGGAATTAATTGTAAAGTTTCAGCCATGCTACAGACCAAGGATTTCTAAAATATGCCAGCATATGCTCCTAAAACACAGGAATTTCTAATTCTAGAAAGAGTGCTGAGTATTCTTTGAATGTCAGTGTTTTTATACCACAGCTCAGTGTATTATATTTTAGCAAGACAAAAACTGTTGTGGCTGAGTAAGTGCTCCAAGGAATTATGCAAACACTGGAAGGGTGTTGCACTGGGCAGCCACCACTAACACAACCCTACTGCTCCTCATAGGATGTGGGTTTTTCCCAGCAAGGCTGGAATTAGGCACCACTGCAGACAACAAAGAGCCCTTTGGTTGTTCCCTTAAGCTCAGAACACATCTCTCAAACCAAAGCTGAGGCTGTTTGGGCTTTCAAGTGCAAACCTATGATTTTCTTGTTTGATTTGGCACCACTCATAACCAGAATCCAGCTGCTCCTGGTATTTATTTATTCTGTGATACTTCACTTTGTTTCTTGGCTTCACAAAATAGTCCCCAAAAGCTCAGGAAGGAACAGGAGCTGGAGCAGTGACAGTGGCTGTGACCACCCCGTCAGCAGCTGGGTGACATGTGGCTTGCACAGACCACTGAAAAGCAGTGGTGTTGCAAACTAGCCAGTAATAAATGTTCTTTTTCAGTAAATACAAAGCCTAGAAAAACACTTTTCCATATTCCTTGGCTTTCTTTCCCTTTCTGAATGCCTGGCTTTGCCCATGAAGTGCCTACTCTAATGGAACATCATCTGTCCATCACCCTGTGGAGCCCAAAGGAAGGAAGTGTTGATGTTGGGCAATTACACAGCAGTGCAACAGGATGCTGCTTTCACCACCTACTGACAAATACAAACAGTCACAAATTTATTTCACTGGAGGCCTTTCAAAAATACTATTTTTAGAAGGCACTTACAAGTTTTTGCCTAAAGTTACACGAGGCTTGAATTTTCCAAACCGTACCGTCCTCAGCGTCCAGGAAGAGTTTATGTCCTGTCATAAATTCATGCCTCAAAACTGCAAGCTAATAAAGCTGCACAAGCTTGGAAAAGGTTTGCAATTCCCCTCTCTGTGTAAGTGGGACACATAGTTACACTAAAGTTAACTACTTCACTACAGGCAACAGGGATTAGAGAGGTGACATGTTACAATTAATAATGACCTAGGGTGTGACATACACTGCTGCATTATGTTATTATTTTACAATATAACTATTATCTTTCAGCCTCTTTTCTGAACTAATCTGCCTTAATTAAAGCAGTATTTTCCCAGCATTTATCCCAGACCTTCCCAACCAAACACCCCACCACAGGAAGTGAGGCAGTACCTTCATTTCTATACAAACAACACACGTTTCAGAGCACAAAAACAGGCAAGTACAGATGGAAATATGTTCAGCTGCTTGGCAGGGCAGGAAGTTAAGGAGCATTTTAACAATTCAACAGCCTTCACTGGCCATGTCAAAGACTGACACCTCCATGATGGGTGTTTATTTGGGATGACAGAAATGAGTGCTGTTCAACCTCTTACCTGTACTGAGGCAACTCAAAGAATTCAAATGGCACTGAGAGAAGTTCAAGGGTAAACAAAGAGAAAAAATATTTTATACACATTTGGTGGTTTAAATGTGATCTAGAAACAGAGCACAGGTGTGAATTGATACCCCACCTGCAGGTCCCTCACGTTGGGGAAGGGGATCCCGATGGTCACCACGGCCCGGGCGTTCTCGTCACAGAAGTCCAGCCCCTCACTGACCTTGCCCCTGCACACAGCAATGAGCAGAGCTCCATCTGCAACCATTCCCAGGGAGAAAAGCACTATCAGAAGGAAGTTCCACCAAAATCTTTTATACAGCTACACCCAGTATAGTGTAACACCCTGTGTGTATCAGCCTGAGAAAGGTGAGCGGATATAAGCAGATATTTCTTAAAGGACAGGATTAACTCCCCCTTGATCAATAACTTTGACTGTCAACTAGCAAAATAATTTTACACTGTATAATAGAGTTCTTTTACACTATATAATAGAGTGGTGATTCATTATGCAAGAACAATGTGTATCTCCAACAAAATTTCATATGTTAAACCTTGAATTTTGCACTCCATTTTTTCCATGCTGTTATTCTTTATACTAACATTGAAGTATTTTGAGAAAAAATCCTATAGTGGCTGGAATTTAAGGTTAATTAATATAAGACTGATTGATTTAAATCCCAGCTATACAATGTACTGTAAGTGATTCTTTGAAAAGTCACTCTGTACCCCCTGGCAACACCTGCACACCTTTACACACCTCACTGGGATTATACATCAGCCTGTACTTCCCTATATCCCCAATATCCTCATGCCACAATAAAAATAGCAGTGAACATAAATACTTTCCTTATTTATAATAACTTACGAAACTGAAGTCCATATAAATACTTATCCTTAGCTGCTTCTAATTGTTAAGCACTTACAGAATCCCCTTATTCTTTAAACTTGCAGAGTCTCTATCAGTTATCTGTATGTCTGAAGAATGTACCTTTTTCCCCTTTACACTTTATTGCATCATAGTAGATGTTCAGCAACTCATCAAAGTCACTCTTTGCCCCTCCCTGAGGCTCTGCAATCACTGTCTTCACCAGCTCCAGGTTCTTCCACAAGCCAGTGTGAATCCAGCGATCCTTCAGCTTGTCCAGCATCTGAAAACAAACACAAAAATCCACATCAATCACTTCCACTGTTCCAATAAAGCCCCTTGTTTTAGTGAAGCCACACTATTCAGTTTTTGTATTTGTAAATGCAAGCTGCCCTGCCATGCACAAAACTCAGCCATGCAGCACTTGGCAAACATGGGGGCCACTCATTTTGCTAATTAGAAATGATGTAGATTTTTGTTATCAAGGCAAAACTCTCTAAATCTGTAAGAATGGACACTAAAGAGCATCTCCTGGTATTCCTCAAAGCAGGGGAATGTCAACCACAGAAAAAGGGAAATCACCTGTTTTTCTGATTACCAAGTAAGAGATCCAGAAGGAAAGCTGGAAACAAATTCTAAATTACTTTGAAACAACTCCTTATATCTTAAATTTCCAGAACACTTCAACATTTTAAAATGTACACAGTGAGGAAATATTGATGTAGGATTTACCAACAGCCTCCTCTGCTTCTTGAAGTTCTGAACTGTGCACATTTCACTCCAAACCAGAACATACTCAAATCTGGCAGGCAAATGAGCTTGTTCCACATTTAATTGAACCTCTCCATCTGAAACCTGCACTTGCTCCAGTTCATTCCTCAAAATGAAAAAAGCCACAGCATCCCTTAATTCCAGCCCACTTGCCTTTCCAGTGCACTCCAGCCAAGATCTTGGGATTTGGAATGGTTAAACTGTTACAAGATTAGTCTGTCCCATCACAAAGCACACGGTTTAAGTGCTACAGTAAAGCAGAATTAATTGTAACTAATTGTTGTCATATTTGGGTTTAAAGAGAGAACATTTGCAAATTTATAGGACACTGGTGACAAGACCCTTCCCATATTTCACCTCCTCAGCATTAAAGACCTGAACTCACTCCCTGACATTGAGTATTTGGGTTGGTTCCTTTTGAGGAACATGAGGGGACAAAAACTATGTTATTGCTGCATTTCCCTGGCTTTGTTCCAGCCTCTGCTCAGGGAACTACACCTGCTTTACTCCTGATGTGACACCCCCAGCAAGCACAGCAGGAGTAAGTGCTGAGCAGTGGGAACAGTTTCCTACACCCAGAATGGAACTGCAGAATAAATCATCTCTGCTAAACGTGTCTCTCCTCCTGTTTGTCCCCTTCTCCACCAGCTCTGTCATTTCCTGGCAGATCCTGCCTGTAATCTCTTTTTATATAACAGCTTGTAATCCTATGACAGAGCAATGACTGTCCATCTTCCAGCCCAGGCTGCCACTGTGGCCTCAGTTCTTGGATGTGACACGGAGAGAATTCTGGTAAAGAAAGAAATCAAACGTATTATGGCTCTAAGTACATCCATTTGGGACATTATCAGCTTCCCAGATTTCATTCTTCCCTCTGTGAAACTGGTGCCCCCACTCAGCAATCCATGTTAAACCCACTCCTGGCACTGCCTGCCATGGATGCAGAAGGAGCCCAGGAAGAGAAGGCAGACAGGAGATGTCTGGGTGGAACTGAATTCCACATTTCCAGACACAAAACTATCCCTGCTTTGACTTCTAAGGGTCCCTCATCCCTGACTTTCTCCTCTTCAGTCATCACACCCACTGCAATCCACAGGTATTTCTCACAAACACACCCCTGTGTTCTTGGCAGAAAAACTGTTGCTTAATTTAAGGGAACCAAAAATCCACTGACAGTCTCTGAAAGGGGAAGATTCCTCACAAAACCCCCTCCATTTCTCTCATATTTCAAAGAATTATAACTTCTGTTCATAGCTGCAAAGATGGCAGGAGAAAACCTTCCTCCAAATTCTTAGGGAAACATCTTTTCTCTTCCATGGGTCACCCAGCCCCTCCAGGCAAGGATCTCTTGGACCATGGCAGGTTCAGGTTGGTTTAATTGACACAAGCATCCCAACAGAAAATCTCCCATTTTTGATGGAAATAAGTGAATTATTCATGGAAATCTTTGGCAAGGACGGAGCAGTTCATTTAATTCACACACCAGCTATCACCTCTTCCATTAATGGGGTTTGCTGGGGAGGGAAACTTTCTTGAAGGCAGGAAAGTATCCACAAACACACAGTGCCCATGGTATGGACAGGCACTAAAACAACAGGAATGATGGACCTGACTGAATACAAATAAATAAAATATAGAACACACACACGCCTCAGCCGAGCCAGGAACCAAGTGCGGGTTTCTCATAAAAAATTATTTCACTTTGGGTTGAAAAAGTGCAAATGGGAGCAAGATATAATGCCAGGAATCACAGGAAGCAACCATTAATGCCCCCAGCCAGTCACTTCTTCTACCCAAGGGAATAATAGTTCCTGCAGTGGAAGGCAGGCTGTGTATATTTTATTAAATCCCTTAAAAATGGATTCTCCAATGGTTTATTAACAAATGGTCTTCCTCCAGGAGAGCAGAAAATCTTGTTAGAAAGAATCTGTCATCTTCCCAGGCACTGAAGGATGTTTACTTGGATAGCTTTTCCCTTTAATTCCTTGCTGCAGTTTAAAGACACCTGTGAGCCACCATCCAGAAAAACCAGGAGCTCAGGATTTAGATTTGCCATCCATCTATGTCAGCATTCCCCTATGGAAGCAGTTTTGGAAGTATTCCTGAAGTTTGGGAGGGGGGGGAAGGTGTTCTCCCACCATCTTTTGCCATTGTGCACCTGCCACTGAATTTCTTCATACAAAATATTCCTTAAATATTCCCAGGCTGAGTCACTTAATGAATGGATTACACCTTGCCAGCAGAGGAAAAGGTATTACAGAAACAATCCCTCCATCTAAAGTGCTTGGGGAGGCAACAAAAACCTTGAAAGCATGAAAGGATGTTCCAGAGAAATACAGAATATAACAGATAAGGACCCAAGCAGTGCCTGACAGCAGAGTGAAATAACTCTGGCTTTATTGGTTGGTTTAACAGTTATTAACTATTGATGCTAATTATCAGTTACAGTTGCACTGTGTGTGCCTGGATACCTTTAAAACTATGTGTTGCCTTGTTAGCCACTCATTTATACAATAACTGAACAAAAGGGATTTTAAGGTGAACAAAACTTCCACAAGTATCTTGTAACCCCTTAAAAATCTACCATTATACACTGAAAAACCCACTCCTCCAAACTCGGCTGGTTTTTCATCCTGTTTCTATGTGATGATATGAAGTTCCACTTCTCCTTGTTATTCAAATATTCAGGTAGTTGAGCAGAGCAAGGGAGCAGCCATTAGGTTTTCCTTAATAAAAATCAGAGTATTGGCACCACGGTTAGTGCAAAAAGTCAGAGATCCCCCAGGGAGCACCAGTGATCTAAAAGCCTTTTCCCAAGCAGCTCTTGCTGTGTTTGCTCCCAGAATTTTCTTTGTGAATAAGCACTGCTTCAAATCCAAGTTGTGTCTCCAGCAGGCTGGAAACGTGTTTGAAGGGTCAGGCAGAAGTTCCACAGGCAGCACAAAACTTCAGGGATGGAAAAGAGGAATCCAGGGCCAGCCCCAGATGGGGGACAGGATGGGCACTGGAGCCCCTCCAGCAGAACCTGGCTCAGGAATCTGCTCCACGTGGGACTAAAAGGGAGGCAGTGGCACAAAACAGGGTCATCACCCAACAGTGTATAATGGTAGATTTTTTAGTGTATAATGGTAGATTTTGAGTGTATAATGGTAGATTTTGAGTGTATAATGGTAGATTTTGAGTGTATAATGGTAGATTTTTAAAGGGTTACAAGATATTTGTGGAAGTTTTGTTCACCCTGAAATGCCTTTTGTTCAGTTATTGTATAAATGAGTGGCTAACAAGGCAACCCATAGTTTTAAAGGTATCCAGGCACACACAGTGCACAGTTACACCTTCTTCAGTATCACAAGACATTAATTTCTGTATCTTTGCTCTCCTCCTCCTCCTCCACTGATCTCCTCAACTCTATTTTGCTTCAGGACAGAGTAGCTCAGCCCTCAGCGAGAGCTTTTATCTTATCAGAGCAGAGGAGGAGGCTGAGGAGTGCAGAGACCAAACATTTTAGCAAACCAAAACATTTCAGCAAATGTTTTTGCTTCCATGCAGTGTTTGTATCTTGACAGAAAAACAACAGGTGTCAAAACCAAACAAAGAAGAGGCTTTTTTTTTTAACTCTCTGAAAACCTTGGAACTCAGAGACACTGGCAAGAAGAAACACAGTTTTCTTGTCTCACTACAAAGTGTTTCCCACCGTTTGGGCTCTCTGCAAAAAACCAAGGACAGGTTGTTTTATATCAGCTCGACCTGCATCTGCATCAGCTGCCTCCTCTCTCAGTAAAATTCAAGTTAAAATCCCAAAGCCCTGCAGACTCTGCCAGGCCCTCCTGTGCCTGGGAGCTGTGGGGCTGGAGGACATCACATTTTCCACTCCAGTAATCCCGAGGAGCTCAGGGCACAGATGTTTTCCTAATGGCTCTAATTCCACAGGTATTGCATTACCTTTCATGAGCTTCCAGGAGGAGATTTGCTGAGTCAGCTGGGAGCTTCCAGCTGGAACTTTTTGTTCCAAGCCCCTCTCCCCTCGGTCTCAAAGCTCCAGCCTGCTCAGGATGAGGGAGAATTCCCTGGGTGAATGTTCTGCTTCTATTAGGAGAGGATGAAACTGTCTCTGTGTTAGTGATAATCCTAAAATATATTCAGTCATTAAACAAATGCACTTGGTATGCTGATTAAACACAGTGGCCTTAAATTCAGGTTATTTCAAAGGAACCCTGGGGAGTTGATCTGGCCAGACTTCACCCATTTTTTTGGAATTACAGGCTCCTATTAAATGAACTTCTTCAAGGACTAAGATGGTTTGGAAAAGCACAGAATTAGCAGAAGTTATTTGACAGTTCTCTGAACTAAAAGCTTTGCCAAGCCTTGGTATGAAGTGACCTGGAATCCTACAGATACCTGAGCTCCAGGACTATTGGAACTCCTCACTTTGGGAAAAACAGGACTTTACAAAGCCAATATTTATTTATTAGCACTAACTTAACCCTAGTTATTTAGCACTAATTTATTCCA